ATGAACCGCCAACTTATCCAGCAAGTTTTTACACAGCGGATGCCCTTTCAGCCGCAACCCCTCTCTGGGAAACATCCACACACACACACATACACACACTCATACACTACGGACAATTTAGCCTACCCAATTCACCTGTACCGCATGTCTTTGGACTGTGGGGAAAACCGGAATACCTGGAGGAAACCCACGCGAACGCAGGGAGAACATGCAAACTCCACACAGAAACGACAACTGAGCCAAGGCTCGAACCAGCAACCTAGCGACCTTCTTGCTGTGAGGCGAACGTGCTATCCACTATCCACTATCCACTGCGTCGCCGGAAAATAAAATCCTTGACAGATTTTGACAACTACAGTAGTTCTACATTTGTGTAATGACTCCAGTAATGAACTGAGGACTATATGGAGTGACTATTCAGCGTTCACAAGTGGAGTTCATTTTGACTGACATGACATAAGCAAATGATAATGTTATAAACAGCAGAGAGTTGTAGGAATTCATGCATGTCCAAAATCATTTGCAGTTTGTTGTAAGGAATGAGAAACTGCTACTAGGATGTGCACAAATGACTAATTGTTTTGAGAAATGCATGAACTGTTGTGCAAATGTAAATAGTGAAAAACTAGTAGAAAATAGTAGAAAAACTCAGTCAAATATAGTCAAAGATAGGTTTCCCTATCCACGAGACCAAAAGCGAAAGTGAACGTACTTTACGTCGTGTTACAGTTTTTCTTAGATCTTTACACACAATTACTTGTACTACAGACACAATTTCTACAACATGTAACTGATGCACCAACCCCCTGAACCAATTCTGCTAAACTACAAGCACAATTCCTGCTTTACACTCAAATTGCAGGTTTACAACACACTTTTTTCAAAACACTACACACAATTCTCTGCATTTTGCACAATTTTCATGCAGAAAATCTTTTGTTTTCACAAGGAACACACTGTCACTCACAATTGTAAAGTCAGTTGTCCTACTTTGCATACCAACTCATCACATGAGTAAACACCTTTCACAGAATTGCAATTTAGAAATCAGAGCTGATCTGGTTCACAACTAGTTTACTGCCCACCTATGTTTTTTAGATGTTTATCTCCCCCTCCATATTCTCCATTCCTCAAACCTATTGAGGATTTTTGTTTTCTGCCTGGAGATGTAAAGTGACTGGAATCCACACACAAGTATACCCCTTCTCCAAGCTATAGCAGTTGATGCTTTTCGTGGCTGGATTCGCCTTGCTGGATTCGCCTTGCAAAGTGACATTCACACAATCACACTGAACTGAGCTAAACTGAACTGAACTTAAACACTAAAACCTGAACCACACTGTTCCAGTTAATGAACCACACTGTTCCAGTTACTATGACCATTAATGTGAAGCTGCTTTGACACAATCTACATTGTAAAAGCGCTATACAAATAAAGCTGAATTGAATTGAATTGAATTGAATTGAATTGAATTGAACATTTTCCCCGCTGCTTGGCCAGACCAAAACAGAAAAGAGGATGCAGTATAACTGTTTTTTATTTTATTTTATTTTTATTTTTTTTACTGTGACTGTATTCAGTAAATACTTCTGTTGATGGCATATGTAGACCACGATATCTGCAACTTTGTGTTGGTTGGGACCAATGACTGTAAAAAATATGGACGACGCGACAGCCCCTTTTCCCATTGAACGCCTTGAGGGCAAAACGCCTGTTAGACGGGCACAAACTGTCGCAAAAGACTGCTGAAATTGGAGCCTTGAAATGCGCAGAAGGACTGTCTGATGGAGCCAGAGGAGGAGCCGCGATAATGAGCGGAGTCGAGCTTCCAACCAAACACTTTATGTAAAATCAACCACGCCCCCCGAACTGCTCAGCATGCGTTTGCTGTCATATCAACACAAATGGATGTAATAACGTTAACAAATATGAGGGATTTATATATTCAATCGCGCCAGCTCCGGACCGCAGCGCATAACCTACTCGCGGCATCGCGGGCTGATTCCGGCTTGCATGCGGCAGCACCGGCTCGCTCGGCCGTCGAATCTGGCTCGATTGACTCGGGCAGTGAGTCCAGGCATCCGGAGTAGGTCCAGCAGAGGTAGTCAGTCTGAGCTCAGAGGGGTAAGTCTCCGGCAGGCGAGAATCTAGCTGGAACTGGCCCGAGTTTGTTTTGCTATCTGGGTGGCTAGGTGTGTATCAGCAAACTAATAAAGCCCGAAAAAAGCCCTGACCTTAGCGAATAAACAGTGTTCCACCAGATCGTATGTCAAAAACTGTAGTTTACTGCTGAACTCATTTTGTCATGGTAAAATAACACAGAAATCAAATAATAACACTTCAGTCTCCTGCCGAAGCTCAGACGCGCTGCTTCGAGAAACTGTCAATCACAGCTGTCAATCACGATGACACGCCCAGCATTAAATTACTGCTAAAAACAAACTGTTTACAAAAATGAAGATCTGCACCTATTTCAGCACAATAACCAGTGCCTTAATCGACCAGAACCATCTTTCGGGATATTTTATTGCAAGTGTAATAATTTTGTTTATTTGGGCTCAAGTCTCCTTCATTAACACGGAGGAGGCGGGCTTTATGACTTGTACTGCAGCCAGCCCCCAGGGGGCGATCTAACGGCCGAAATCTTCACTCAAACGCAGGCTTGCGGCACACTTGGTTGGGACGAACACTGTGTACACTGTATTTGAGGGGTAAATACAGTAAAATATATTTGGTATTTGTTTGTTTTGCATACAAACAATCCTCTGAAAGATTTTACAATGCACTTCTGTAGGCGTGCTGTCTGTAGTAAAGTGTAACACTGAACAAAAAAAGGCTTACAGAAAGTCATAATGATAAATGGAGAAGAAGTGGTCAGAGTGTTTTACATTCAGCACATCAGTGTTCAACTGATCTTATAATTGTCTATTGATGTGATGGCTTGTGTGTGTCATTTGAAAACAAAAGACCATTTTGAGAAGAAATCACAATGTTTTGAACGCAGAGTTTCATATTGCAGAAGAATTGAAGAGTTTTGCCTAATGTGTGTGTGTTTTGTGATTTGTGTGTAGAGATCTGACAATATGAGACCTGGGGCCTGTTTCAATAAGGAGGTTCAAACAACTCAGAGTTTAAACTTGAACTCTGAGTTGATTTACCGAGAGATTAAAAACTCAGAGTTGTCGGTTTCAGAACAGCTGATCTGAGTTGGGTCAATCAACTTCGAGTAGACCAACTCAGAGTTAAGCGCGCACACCGTGACTATAAAAAGGCATTATCAATAGAGCGCAGACATTACGAGTGACTATGGCAATATCTTATAAAAGAGATCACCATTTCTTTCTCCAGCTGAACTTGATGTTCTCATGCAAAGTTATAGCAAATATGAGCGAATATATTTGAAAAGAAGCAACCATCAGTGAAGAAGAGACAGTTAGCGTGGGAAAACAGCTGCTCAAGTTAATGCCTAATTTCACTTTTTAAGAATTTAAATATTTAAGTATAATAAAATAAGTAATGTAATTTGTGACATTTATATTTTTTTTTCTAAACTTTTTTTTATACATTTATTAGTTTTAAATGATTTAACAGTGTACTTGTGTGTCTGCCTTTTTTATTGATCAAGTGATAGAGGTTAATATAACATTTAGAAGGTAAGCAGCACTAAAAATAATTTTTAGAAAGAATAATAATCCCATTAATCTAGTTACAGTGCATGTTGAAGGTGAATTTAATTTAATTATTTATAAAAAATAAGCATAAGCCATTCTCGTACAGTTCTTCTGTGTGTGACTAAAATGTAGGCTATAGCTATGTTTCCATCCAAATATATTACATAAATGTATGTGCAAAACTGGAATATTGCATAAAAGATGCGAATAAAATTCCATCCAACGAGTCAAAGAGAAAAAAATCGTCACTTCCTGATTAAACTGGCATCAAATATCAACAGTAAAAGCAGAATTTACTGTGGTAGAAGAAGCTGCGTCAATTAATTCTTTATTTAGCCTAATTAATGTACTTGCGCCTCGATGTCAGAAGACAACGCTGAAACACAATGAACACGTGGGGGCGTCTGATGCCATGAGACGCGGAGACTCTTCACACGCACCAGACGCTCGGAGGTAATAAATAATATACACTAATACTGAAACAGTTAAGGCATTTTAGAATGACTAAAACAATATTTAAGACGTGTTACAGTGTGCTCAGCCTGCTGGTTTGTTCATTTACACACATTTTCATTATCATATGATCATGATCTTTTTTTTAATGTACATGCTGTAATTTGTTCAGTAAAAGTGTTTCCATCGTAGTTTATGCGCACATTTTCTATCGAATAAAAGTTTATCCTACTCAGTTATGCGCGTTTTTTATGCATATTTTAAAAAGTTATGTGCATCATGACGTTTCTATCAATCGTTTTTATGCACGTATACAAAATGAGCATTAAAATAGGTGGGTGGAAACGTAAGGCTAATGCGAGAAATACCGCTTCATCTTTAAAAAAGGGGAGGAGACAGACAGAAACTCTGAGTTTAGAGAATAAAACCTGCTTCTGACCAGGTTAGATTCACAGAGTAAGTTACCACAGTAACTGACTCTGAGTTAAAGTTACCTTTCTTTCAGAAACAGGCTTGACTTACCCTGCTTTCTCCAGTTTAACAAACCTGCCATTTTGAAACGGAAAACCCAGAGTTTCTCTCATTTCAGGGTTAAAATACTCTGAGTTTTCAGTTAACCTCCTTTCTGAAACAGGCCCCTGCTTTCAGAAAATGTGTGTAAACAATTGGGAAAAACTGTAATAGCAATGCGCTTATGGCGCGACGCAGCTGGTTCTTAAAGGGAATGGGAAATGAGACTCTGATTGGTTTATTCTCAAAACACACCTATAACTCATTAAGAGAATAAACTCAACCCTTTTAGTCCATGCGCCATGGTGCAAAGCGGATTTTCCGGTCCTTAAATTAGCAAAAACGCGTTCTGACACGCCCTGAAAGCGTTTTGGACCGTCAAAATAGAGCCCATAAAGTGACTCATGACGGGGGGTTTAATGAGCAGCCACTGAAGAGGAATAAGATGCTTGTAATAAGTTTGATACAACCGTTCACATTACAAATCTGTGCCGGATTTAGGAGCACATGAAAGCACATGAAAGTGGCACAAATCAGCTGTGAAAAGATCAGATGTCATGAGGTTTGAGGTCTAAAAGAGACTCCAGTAATTACTGCAGTTCAGATGAAGCTGATCTTTTCTGGAGCACCACATTAAAATTAATCTTCAAAATGATTCTGCACTTTTTCTGAATCACTGTCATGATCCTTCTGTCTGGTAAACAGAGACATCATTTTCTGACATCCACCTGTCTGCTTTTTATAGATGATAATGATGGTCAATATGATGATGATGATGAAGATGATGAAGCAGCCCACACCAGCAGAGATGGCAGAAACAGAAGTTTTCTCATGTCCAGGAGATTGTCCAGGATTATTTATGTGTGGTTCATGCTCTGTAAAGGTGCATTGACCAGAGTAATTATAATTATTTAAATCATAAATCTAACTTCAGCCCATTGCAGACTGCACACTGCAAAAAATGCTTTCCTTGCTTAGATTTTTTGTCTTGTTTCTACTCTAAATATCTAAAATTTCTTATATCAAGAAGCATTTTCTAGAAAAGCATAACATATTATCTTGTTTTGAGAAATAATATGCCAATATTAAGTGAGTTTTTCCTTAAAACAAGCAAAATAATCTGCCAATGGGGTAAGCAAATTAATCTTGTTTTTTTCTTTTGACGTAAGATTATTTTGCTTACCCCATTGGCAGATTTTTTAACTTGTTTTAAGAAAAAAACTCACTTAATATTGGCATATTATTTCTGAAAACAAGACAATATGTTTTTCTTGTCTAGAAAATTCTTCTTAATTTAGGAATTTTTAGATGTTTGGACTAGAAACAAGACAAAAAATCTAAGCAAGAAAAGCATTTTTTGCAGTGCAGACAGTCAGATTCTCATCACACACTATGATTAAATGCTTCAGTGTGGAGAAGCTGATTCCTTGACAACACACACACACACAACTAAACATCTCTAAAAATCTTTCCTGAAATATGTTATCACTGATTCATTCATTTTCTTTTCGGCTTTTTCCTAGTCGGCTTGTTGAACTTTGTTGGCTTTAATGTGATGACTGTTGTGTGATTCTAATCTCAGCTTTGACCGTCTTTTCCGGTTTGTTTTAGTTTAGATTGATGTTTTGTTAGATTCGTTTGAGTGTTTTGGCACCTGTCTATTTTGAGTTTTGTAGTTTAATTAGTTTAGTTCGGGTGTCGTGCACACTGAAGACCTCGGTTTTTATTAGTATTTCTTTTTGTCGCCTAGTTTAGACTTAAAATTTAAGCATTGTTTTGTTTTGTTAATTTCTTTGATTTGGCTTACACTCATTGTTTTTGTTTAAGGATACTTGTTAATGTTTATTTCTTTCCATTTATTGCCGTTAAATAATTGTTTCAACTACTGAGTAAAAAGCTTAAATAGAGAATGGATTCCTGCTTCATCCTTTATCTGTCGCACACATTACATCTGCACTCAAAAAAATGAAACGTTGAGTTTACTTAATTTTTTCTTGTCAACGGGTTCCACAAAATATATTTATGTAAGTTAAAAATAAATATTTCAAAGCTAATTAAATTAATGGCCTTATTTTAGGTTGAAACAATTAGTTTGAATCAAGCCAACTATTGTAAATTTATTTTGCTGAACATGAGACATTTGAGTTGAACTAACTTAAATCAGTTAGGTTATATGGACTAGCTAAATTTGTTTAGAAGTTGCATATTATATTTTTGTCTATTGAGAGTAAACAAATTAGTTTACAACAAATCATTTAATTTAAGCTTAACTAATCAAAACAAAATTATTTTACTCAATTTAATTTTTACTAGTTAGGTTTAATTAACTTTAGTTCGTCAACAGGTTCCACACAAATAATTTAAGACTCAGCTAACATCTGTCTCACCTAAATGTTACAGCACCCCTCTGAAACATCCACACACACTCATTCACACACTATGGATAATTACCCAATTCATCTGTACTGCATGTGTTTGGACTTGTGGGGGAAACCACCTGGAGGAAACCCACGCAAATGCGGGGAGAATATGCAAACTCCACATGTTATAATTTAAAAACCATATTTATATATTTATTAATTTATAAATGTATCCAAAATACATTAATAGTTATCTGTTTTTGAAAATTTAGGTTGCTTTGTTGCTCTAAACTACTACACATATTGACAGGAGCTTCAGTGTTAGTGGTTGTAGGTTTGACAGGCTGTGCTTACGGATGAATGGCACTAAGCCAAAAATAAAATGAATGAATGAATGCTTATGAATTATTAAATTATTATTAGTTTAAAATTAAGGTATATTTGCAAACATTTACTGACTAGTAAAAAAGTACTACAGACATACCTGATATATCCACAGTGAATTCTGCAGTTTTTGTTGAACTATTAGTTTGCACAAAGAATCTGAATGTTTCCTTCATTGCTGTATTTGGAGTGTATCTGCATGTGAAGGTTTTCTTCTTCTTACAGCGGTCATCAGGAGACCCTTCTCTACAGATGTCAGAGTAATTATAGTTCTCAGGATACTGAAACTTAAACCATATAACACAGCAATCAGTGCACTGTTCAGAGAAGCTGCAGTTGAACATCACTTCTTTCCTCACAGCTCCAGTCACATCATTACATCTCACATTGCAGCCATCTGAAAAACAAAACAAAACCCATTATAATAACAGTAATATAATACAGCAACAGAAGAATAATGTAAAAATAATAATGTTTGCCATGGACTTTAGGGTGGGCTAAGTGACATTTCGTGTGGGCCAAAAAAACAAACAAACAACAACACACATATACATAAGACAACAATTATTTTAAAGGTAAAAAAATAATTTATAGCATTTTAAAAATGCTGTATTTATCTTTTGAAATGTTCTTTGTGTAATTTAATAAAAGCAAAATAACTTTTATTTTAAAACTATTATTTATACTGCAGACTAGTTTTATCTCAGTGTTTGGTTGCTTAAGTCAGTGGTTCCCAAAGTGGGGGTCGGGACCCCTCGAGGGGTCGGGGGGCAGTGAAGGGGGGGTCGCCTGGTGATTTCCAAAAATCGATTTATTTTTATTAAACCATAAGAATTAACATATTTTATCCATAACTATACTGAAAATAAAAATAGTCGTTTATAGTTACTATATACTATATAGTTACTATAGTAGCTTATAGTTACTAGTTCTATTGGATTGCGACCCCTGGGGTAATTACATTATATTAAAGGCAGCAATAGCGTCAGATGCATTTTGATTTTATAACATCAGGTTATACTGTCTGGCACATTTAAAGCACTGACACAAATTTAATTGGTGTGTCTGCGTCATTGCATGCAAGGTTTCTGTATTTATAACCACCTTAGAGGATATTGGGGGTCGCGAGTCACTGGCATTGTTATTTTGGGGGTCGCGGGCTGAAAAGTTTGGGAACCCCTGGCTTAAGTGATGTTTGCCAAGTTTTGCAGGAAAACTCATGTTGCTCTCCATCAACTAAGTGACTTTTCATTTAAAACTGATTTCGAGAGGAGCATGTGCTCATGATTGACCCAGCTGGTCCACATTAGCTAATCATTATCCTCCAATCAGAGGATCCCAAGTCACTATATATATATATATCTTAGTGCTGTCAATCGATTAAAAAAAATTAACTAATTAATCACACTTCTTTTAGAAAATTAATCGCGATTAATCACATTTTAAAGACTGAAATTTGTAATTTTGTCTATTCAAATGTAAAATTACTATAAAGGCAAAACAAAAACTATTTACGTTCAAAATATAACTGTTTATTAGAATTTTTGTTTAACTTGTAACACAGATTTCTTCATGTAAACAACATACCCACAATAAACCATCAAGAACCTGGCTTGACAGCCATAATTATTACAGAAATAAAACACAGGCATGTTAATGCCATTTGAATTTACAATCAATACCAATAAAGAAAACATTGACTTCCATGTTGGATTTCCATGTTTCTCTGGAGCACAAGGAGGAAACCCACGCGAAGGCAGGGAGAAAATGCAAACTCCAAACTGAAAAGCCAACTGAGTTGAGGTTCGAACCAGCGACCCAGCGACCTTCTTGTTGTGAGGCAATCGCACTACCTACTGCGCCACTGCCTCGCCTAGTACATTTACATTAGACACCAATTCTCAGATTTGAATATGATTAAGATAGTACTCTTATTAAGAGTCTACCGTGTACGCAGCGATTTGATTACATTAAAGGAACACAGAGTCAAGAAATGCGGAGGTTTTTCGCATGCGTTAACGCACTAATTTTGACAGCACTAATATAATATATATATAGTTTAATTTCCTTTCTACAAGTTTGCATGTTCTCCCCGTGTCCGCGTGGGTTTCCCCCGGGTTCCCCGGTTTCCTCCCACCATCCAAATGTGCTCTATATTACAGACAAATAAGTCTAAATATTTTTTCAATGTCTTACTCTCAGGAAGTTCGCCTTGGCCTCAGCAGCTAGGGGAGTTGGATCGACCTGAGCTCAATCCCCCCTAGCCCTGTGAAAGGGGGGAGCTCTGGGCTCGAGGATCCCTTGAGCTCAGGGCTCTCTCCCGGGACAGCGCACCAAACAAGCCATATATAAATCATGAGCTAAGTGTGAACCACTTACTGAACTGAACTACTTACTGAACTGGGCGATTCTATAGTTGCAGGTACATTTTTTGACCAAAGCCATCCTTCTTTTGGCCTTTACAAAATGGATACATGTGTTATATTTCACGTATGTCTTGTGGTGTTTTGTTGTATTGTTTCGTATGTATTGTATGTGTTTCCGTTTTGCGTTTTCTTCTCTCTCTCCTGTTGTGGATCCTGTCCTGTTTCAGGTGTGCAACCATTGGTCGAGTGAGCTGTCAATCACCATCGCCACTCGTAACACATTACATTATTACGTTTCTGATTATTTAGAAAATGTGTTCATCATTTTCAAAGATCATATGACTGTGATGCACACAGATACCTGCGCTCTATGCTAAATTAGTTTCTCTTTCATCTTATGCAGCCTGAATGGTTTAAAATGACTTAAACGGAATACTTTAATCAAGATTGTAAACAAGCCTGGCTTGCCAAAACATGTTTTCTGAAGCTCACGGTCACATCTTATGCTGCTTTCTCAGATATGAAAAGCATCGCAAAAAAATGTTTGTTTTCTGATGTGGGTTCAGGGTGGGCCAAGCTTCTGATTGGGTGGGCCAGGCCCCCCCAGGCCCCCCATGGAGCCAGGCCTAATCACAATTACATTAGACAAACCATATGCATTTGCTTTTAATACATGTCCAAAATAACTAAATACAACACAAATTATAATAATACTTTCAAAACTCACAAACATAATCCCTATATATGTGAATCCCTAAACTTAAAAAGAAAGTCAGCATGTTCACACAATAACCTGGTAGTCTCTAGCTCTATAAAAGACATCGCCATTGCTTTGCAATTTTAGATTAGCATCTAAAGCATTCCATAGACGTGATGCCTGCACATAGGTCAGGTCAGTATGTGGTGGTAGGTCAGACTGACCAAGGAGCTATGAATATGAATATGAAAGAAATGGTTTTCTCTTTGATACGTCTCAAGCATTTATACACTACACAGATTCTACTTGCTTTTTTGCACTATCAATGGTATCTACTCATAGTTGAAATACTTGGACAAGCCTAAACATTCCCCCATCCACATAATCAAACACACTTTCTTAAGAACTCTTACCAGCATCAGTTTGGCAGACTGCAGTGAAGCCCAACAGCAGCATGAAGATCTGCACTGCATTTATTACAGCCATGGCTTTCAGTTTCCAGCTGAAATAAAAACATACAATAACAAAGGTGAAATTTAAGCATTACTAATAAAGAAGTACTAGAGAGTATGGTCAAGCTTTATTTTAAGGTGTCCTTATATGTATAAAGACACCTAACCCTAAACATTCTAACCATTACCATATAGTAAATGCAGGCAAGTATTAACATATTCAGTGGTTAGATGAATATGTAAATTAAAACAAGGACACTCTGTAATGTAATTTTTGCTTGTTCAAACTACTTATTTCAAGCGTTCCCACTTAGATATGGTTGGCATTTAAAGCAGGTTTGGCATGCAGTCCCGGGAGAGAACCCTGAGCTCGGAGATATTTGAGCCCGGTCAATAAGCATATCAGGGGATCCGAGATCAGGTAGGTCTCGATAGCTCCCCCTTTAGAATGGGGAGAAAAGGAGGAGATGGGACGGAAGGGGGGATTCTTCTAAAACGAAGATAGAGCACTGAGGAGAAAGTGATCCATTTATATTAAACTAGGATCGCTCTGATTGGATTATTACTGATTACGGATGAGTGGCCAGCAGTGCTCAATCAAATCACATGCTCCTCTCGAAATTAGTTTATGAAACTTCACTTAAAATGAGCAACAACACAATTCTTAAAGGGTCATGAAACACCAAAACACATTTTTTGAGCTGTTGACAGTCGTATATGTGTCCCACACTGCTAAAAACACTATTAGGACACCTATATTTCACTAAAAAGTGTAAATTGGTTGTTTTTGAGTTATTTCAAGCAAATTCGTACTTCCGGTTTGAAATGAATTTTTGAAGCTGCGTCACGGTCAAGAGATAATAGTGTGTATTCCAGCGTGCAGACTGGACGTCTGTGCCAGAGTGTGTCTTATTACGTCTTACAGCCTGCTGCATTAATGCATGAGTAAAGCTTGGTTCAAACCAATCAGCGCGCTCTATTGTGCAACTTCATTAATATTCATAACTGTCACAGTGTTTACGCCACAGAGACGCCACGTTGTGTTGGCAAAACAAACGTGAAGTGTTGCTTTTATAGTTTGCTGCAGTTAAGTTTCGTTTTTATTTTCTCTCTGTGAGAGCTCAGACTCACGTGTGGATTAACAGTGTACGCGACGCTCGACAACAACTTACGTGTCTAAGGAGGATTATTGTTTACCTGAGAGCTGTTCTTATGAAAGTAAATCAGTAGCAATACTCGAGAGCTTGCAAATGTAAATGTGAGCACTTGTGATAATAATATTTGTATGTGTAGGTTGAAATGTACACTTACAGCTCTGATGTGAACAGCTGAAATCCTCGATTAGCACACACACACAACAATCCACACACTTGTGTTTTAAATTCGAAGTTGCAGATTAATAGTTGTGTATTTGTAAAATGTCATTCACAAATACAAAGTGACAGACACACGTGTGCACGGCAAATTTGACTGCATCTTCGCTCTACAACCACAGGTCGGCACTCACAACCTCTCAGATTCGTCAGTACAACTACAAATCTCCCGCGCTCTGACTTTTGCAACACATCTCCCGCGATCTCTGTAGCAGAACTCATCTGTGCACTCGCAGATGCAGAGGCGTGAGCAGCGCGGGGGGCGGGGGAGGGGCGGGACAGGTGTAAAGCTGTTTCATTGGCTGAAGCCTGACCAATGAACAATGCCAGCAGCCAACAGGACTGAGGTGCAAAATAATAATTTCCCACGATTATTTCATTAGTTAGGGTTTATTTAAACTCTTTTCTGAAGAGATTCTTGTTAAAAATCATAAATTCTACTGTAATGTACATACCAGTAAAAGAGCAGCAAAGCCAGTTTATTGGCTACAGCCAGCCAATGAGATGGGGCGTTTCTGTTTGTCAGCAGGGCAGCTCACGTTGTTGGAGGCCTCGAGCAATCAGAGGGTAAGTTATGATTTTTTAATAATTATCTATATGTTCAATACTGTTAGCTAAGCTAAGGACTTTGCTGGGTGCTTCTCTTGTTTGTTTCTTATATAAGAAAACAGTTATGAGTTATCTAGGAGCTGCTTTCAATCATGTTATATGGTTCTAAAGATACGATTCAACCCACATGAAATAAGAAGTTGTAATAGCATTTATAGTAAATAATATTACGTTTTTGAACCATACTAACTATAATAAACTGTATTATACAGTATATATTGCAGTATCTACAACTTTGTTAATGAATGCAACAGCACACTGTAGTATTAACTAGCATGAACTTTAATGAATTGAAGTATACTTTATATGTAAAACCTAATACATTTTAAAGCAGTTTCATTTCTTTCTAATTTATACATCTACATGCATTACATCTGATTTAGGTCCACAACTTGCATCCTTCAACATGATATGTGTGTTCAAAGGAAGAGCAACTAGGTGAGGGAGACAGTGTCCATCGCTCGGCAGAGGGTCCACTTTGAGCATCTCATCTGCAGGGTTAAGCAACATAAGCTGAACAGTCATCATCTCTCTCTATTACAGCGAGCATCAACCAGCTTTACACAATGGCTTGCTTTCTGACCATTAGTAAAGGCTTGAGCAAAGGATTAAAGAGGAGATAACATTTGATGGGTAATGATGAAGTTGGATTTACCACCTCCATCTCATTATAAACAAGGAAAAACCCTGAAATATTTCAATACAAGTAACTAGACATTTGCGCTGCACTTATTTGGACTGTAAATTTTATTTGACAAATTACATTCCCTTACAGAACAGGTGTCAAACTCAGTTCCTGGAGGGCTGCAGCTTTGCAAAGTTTAGTTCTAACCCTAATTAAACACACCTGATCAAACTAATTGAGTCCTTCAGGTTTGTTTGAAACTTTCACTTAAGTGTTTTGAAGCAGGGTTGCAACTAAAAACGTGCAGGGTTACGGCCCTTCAGGAACTGAGTTTGACACCCCTGCCTTACAGTAAAGTGTAAAAATACTACATTAAACAATTATCAAAATAAAAGTTGTGTGTGTGGGTGAGTGTGTGTTTTGTTCAAATCTGTAGTCATCTTGGCAGGTAAAAAGAGAAAATAAATGGTTGGCTTCCTCTTGAATGATCTGAATCATTTTGAAGTGTTTGTAGATGAGCTGGATCATCATGTCATCTTTAGCATAAATAACATCCTATTCAAGCTATGCAGCTTCTCTGAGTTCCTCATCGACTTGAAACATGCTGATCTCTCCTGTCACTCCATCCTTACAGGAAACTGAGAAATAAAGGTAGTAACTTTCATAATTAAAAAAGTGATATAAAGGACACACTGTACACAAACATGTAAATAGATAGATGGATAGATAGATATGATGCAGGTTATAATAACAAAAACCGGTATGATCTGTAAGAAACTGAAACGCCTAGTGTTATTTTTAATTGCTATTAATGTGTGCGTGTGTGTAAATATATTTCAATTCATTAAAGTTCATGCTAGTTAATACTACAGTGTGCTTTTGCATTCATTAACAAAGTTGTAGATACTGCAATATATACAGTATAATACAGTTTATTATAGTTAGTATGGTTCAAAAACGTAATATTATTTACTATAAATACTATTACAACTTCTTATTTCATGTGGGTTGAATCGTATCTTTAGAACCATATAACATGATTGAAAGCAGTTCCTAGATAACTCATAACTGTTTTCTTATATAAGAAACAAACAAGAGAAGCACCCAGCACAGTCCTTAGCTTAGCTAACAGTATTGAACATATAGATAATTATTAAAAATCATAACTTACCCTCTGATTGCTCGAGGCCTCCAACAACGTGAGCTGCCCTGTGTGCTGACAAACAGAAACGCCCCATCTCATTGGCTGGCTGTAACCAATAAACTGGCTTTGCTGCTCTTTTACTGGTATGTACATTACAGTAGAATTTATGATTTTTTTAACAAGAATCTCTTCAGAAAAGAGTTTAAATAAACCCTAACTAATGAAATAATCGTGGGAAATTATTATTTTGCACCTCAGTCCTGTTGGCTGCTGGCATTGTTCATTGGTCAGGCATCAGCCAATCAAACAGCTTTACACCTCCCCCGCCCCGCGCTGGCCTCTGCATCTGCGAGTGCACAGATGAGTTCTGCTACAGAGATCGCGGGAGATGTGTTGCAAAAGTCAGAGCGCGGGAGATTTGTAGTTGTACTGACGAATCTGAGAGGTTGTGAGTGCCGACCTGTGGTTGTAGAGCAAAGATGCAATCAAATTTGCCGTGCACACGTGTGTCTGTCACTTTGTATTTGTGAATGACATTTTACAAATACACAACTATTAATCTGCAACTTCGAATTTAAAACACAAGTGTGTGGATTGTTGTGTGTGTGTGCTAATCGAGGATTTCAGCTGTTCACATCAGAGCTGTAAGTGTACATTTAAACCTACACATACAAATATTATTATCACAAGTGCTCACATTTACATTTGCAAGCTCTCGAGTTTCGCAACTGATTTACCCTCATATGTTCTCATCTGCAAACGCTGAGATCTGGATTCGCTTGTAGTCTCCTCTTAATAAAGACGCGGCTCTAGTTGCTGGTGATTGTCCTGTCTCTACAGATTTGGTAAGTGAGCGAGCAGTGTTCTTTGTTTATTCAGTTTGTTCGTATCGAACTAAGTTAACTATTGCACCGTAACATGTTAGGACCACAACCACACTTTAACCTCGTGTAGGGTTTTTACCGCATTTAGTGACCGGAATAACACACGCGGCTTTCTGACACTACCTGCCGTGTGCATCTAAGTTTCCGGGAAATGCTAAAGTTTTTTTTTCTTTCTTTCGCCGTGCGGCATCAAACATTGCATGAAAAATACACGCTTAGAGCAGTTCCTCGAATCAAATATCTCGTTTGTCGCGAGGGGCATGACTGAATTCCCTGAATGAAAGAGCCAAACTGCAGTTAAAGTTCACCATTTAATAATTCGGCAAATAATTCGACTACAGATGTCCATGTAGGTTAAACACCATCACTTTCTACTGTGAAACTCGCGCGTGCCAAAATAGACATTCCCACACCATCCCACTTTTCTTCCTCCGACACTCCCCCCTAAACAGAGCTGGACACACCCACTTTTCTGACTGTGAAAACACCCTGCAAAAACGAGAGGGTTTCATGGCCCTTTAAGAATTCATTTGGACAACTTAATTTTTTATGTTCAATCCACATAAATTTGCTAAAAGTGTTAAATTAAATGAATTGATTTGTGTTGAGACAACATTAATGAATTGTGTGAATTTTCAGTCTAGTTTCGTTTTCATTCTCTCCTGATAGAAATAATAATCCTTTACAGACTCCTTAAAATAAAGCATAATCAATGTTAGTAGTAAATAAACACTTTAAAGATGATGATTTCAACGTGTATTTAATCGCTTGATATAAATCAACTCTCAATATTCAATATTAAAACAAATATTTCATCATTATTTTGAACATATTAATTAAGATATATGACGCTTTAAAGTAGTGACACAAGAGCAATGAAATGATGATGACAGAATTATGTTGCGGTTTCTATCGCAGACTATTTATTTACGCTTCAATAAACAGCACTAGTGCAACACAGAATATTATATTTCACAGTAAAACAAATGTATAGCCCACCTCAAACCTGAGAATAAGATTTACTTCTGGAAGTTATCCAAACACAAACAAAAACCAGAAAAGCACTCTGAAGAGCACATCATGAGAAACGTTCATTCATTAAATAGCCTACAACCTAGAGTCACTATAAAAACGTGTAGAGCTGTACAAAAATTGAGGTGATGAAACAGTTTTATTTTTAACTGACTGAACGGAAGAAATATGTAGAATTCTGTGATAAACACTGCAAAAAAACAAACAAAAAAAAAAAACAGATCATACTAACTTATCACAAAATCGAGTTTCTCTGAAGTATTTTGAAGCTTAAATGTTTAAGTCAGGTAATACAAAACATCATGCACACACGCTCAAGCCTCTCCAGCAGCTGATTATGAATTGTTTAGTAAATATAAATGAGGTAATCTGCTGTTCTGACAGAGTTTTTACTCACCGACAGTGTTTCTGTCTTCAGTCTGAGTTTGTTTGACTCTCTCTCTTTCTCTCTCTCTCTCTCTCTCTCTCTCTCTCTCTCTCTGTGATCACGCACCCAGCATACTTTCAGTTCCGGATGTCTCAGAAGAAGGTGGTCTTCCAAGACACAATAAAAACTTCAGTTCTTGGTTTAACATCAGCGCCTCTGCTGGCCATAACACCCATTTAGTTCAGTTTTACTGTAAGTGGCTTTTTCCCCCATCGGTGTAGGCTGCTGAAAGAAAACGATGTCTGCAAAACACTGGAAAAAGACAAATTTTTAGAGACATGTCCTGTGGTCTGATGGAACTAAGATTGAACTGTTTGGCCATAATGAGCAGTGTTACATTTGGAGGAAAAGGGGAAAGCTTACACGCCTAGGAACACCATCCCAACTGTGAAGTATGGGGGCGGCAGCATCATGTTGTGGGGCTGTTTTGCTGCAGGAGGGACTGGTCCACTTCACAGCATAGATGGCATCATGAAGAAAGAACATTATGGAGAAATACTGAAGCAACATCTCAAGACATCAGCCAGGAAATTAAAACTTGGCCACAAATGGGTCTTCCAGACAGACCATGAGCCTCAGCATACTGCCAAATTAGGTAAAATGTGCTGTAAGGACAACAGAGGGAATGTTTTGGAGTGGCCATCACAAAGCCCTGAACTCAATCCTATAGAAAACTTGTAGGCAGAGTTGTGTGTGCAAGACAGCTTACAAATCTGACTCAGTTACACCAATTCTGTCAGGAGGAATGGGCCAAAATTCCTTCAATTTATTGTGAGAAGCTTGTATAAGGATACCCAAAACATTTGACCAAAGTTATACAGTTTAAAAGCAAAGCTAAAAAATACCAAGGAAATGTGTGTAAACTTTTGACTGTCAAAAAAAAAAAAAAATCTCTAATTTTTCTGTCATTTAGCAAATGTAAATCATTTAGGGAATGGATGCTGGAACGATCCAGGATTGTTTCGAGTTTTTGTCACAGCAGGTCTCAAGACCTCAAGAGCTTGTAAACAAGTACTGACGTGATGTGAATAAGGTATGTCTTCACATTTAGTTTAATACGATTATTTTTGTCATTTCCACAGCATATTTTTCAAACAGTAATGGTTGTTTTGCTGGTACTAATGTGTATTTCAGTGTCTGAAAGCTAAAATAAGTGTGATGACAAGTGAGGCATTTGTCTTCTTCTGGAGTTTATCAGCTGATCCCTAAATGCACTAATTGCTCTAATCAAGTCAAGTTATTTATATAGCGCTTTTACAAGAAGTGTTTACAAAAGAAAATGCTGTACATGCATGCACCATTTAAAACAAAGGACAAATAAAACAGACACAACAATCTCATTTAGATAAAAAAAAAAAGTAATTTAAAAACAGAAAGCCTTTCCTCTGCCTAACATGGAGAGGCAAATTATCAAGAGTTTTGGTGCGACCTCTGCAAAAGCACAATCCTTCCTGTATTTTAACCTTGTTTGGGAACAGCCAAAAGTTAGCCTGCTTATAAGTAGGCCCACACGGACTTTGATTTCCGCAGATTTTTAGCCCATCATTGATTCTGTTTATTTATTTATGTAAATGTGTGTAAATTTATATTTATTCAGTTTTTAAATTTATTTCAGTAATATTATTGACTAATATGAAAATATATGATATATTTATATGATTTATTTACCATATAGTTTGTAAAGTAATATTTTCTGTCTTTTAGTAGATATATTATATGAGAGACTTGCTTTGTTTACCAAATAAAGTGGATCTCATTAGATTTGCATTGTAAAAATTAAATAAAAGTTAAGAGGTATAACTTTTTATTTAACATAGTAAGATTTTAGTTATTCATTCATTCTTTCATTAATTTTCTTGTCGGCTTAGTCCTTTTATTAATCCGGGGTCACCACAGCGGAATGAACCGACAACTTATCCAGCAAGTTTTTACGCAGCGGATGCCCTTCCAGCCGCAACCCATCTCTGGGAAACATTTCACCTGTACCGCATGTCTTTGGACTGTGGGGGAAACCGGAGCTCCCGGAGGAAATTCACACGAAGGCAGGGAGAACATGCAAACTCCACACAGAAACGCCAACTGAGCCGATGTTCGAACCAGCAACCCAGCGACCTTCTTGCTGTGAGGCGACAGCACTACCTACTGCGCCACTGCCTTGCCACAATTTTAGTTATAATATTCTCAAAATAATTCTGCATAAATGCACAGATTTTAACACAATTCTGCGCAGAAATAGCAACAAATGTCTGCAGATTCTGTCTGGCACTATACTTATAAGTAATGCATGACATTGCTTTTGAGTTACTTTTGCATTACTTTTTCAACACTGTTTTAGTTTCTGTCTGTGCCTGCAGGGAGCAAATTCTCTCATTGAGTGTGTAATTCAATGTGACTTACCTAATTTCAATTAAGCAATGTATTTTGTAAAAGCTGATTAACTAAACTAAAAAGTAACACACATTACATTTTTAAAAAGTAACCTAAATATTATTATGAATTAATATTTAAAGTAATGCAATACTTTACTCGTTACTTAGAAAATTAATATTATTATGTAACTCACATTGCTTGTAATGTGTTACCCCAACACTGGAAGTAACTGATCAGCACATCTAAGTGCCCTTAATTGAGTGTACAACTGAATGAACACAGACAAGAATATTAGTGCAAGACCACTTAGGGATTTTGTTATGATTGCCTGCGATCTAACCCTGACAGATTGCTAGAGAAGATTCACTATCACTACAATTCTGCCACTGAACTGCACAACATTTCCCATCAGGCATTTCCAGTAACACTTTATTTTGATGGTCTATTTGAGTATTAGTAAGCTGTCTGCTCAATATCTGCTGATACTGCTCCTTCAACAGACATTTAACTGAGTACAAGAAACTTTGCAAGTACATGTCAACTTACCCTAACCCTAACCTAACAGTCTACTTATAATCTAATGAGAATTAGTTGGCATAGATGCAATGTAAATTCAACAAACCGACCCTTAAAATAAAGGGTGACCGCATTTCCCAATCACCTCTGATTACTTGCACACAGCTGTAGCTCATGAAGACTGCATAGTTGGACTATATATACACTTCACATTCTCACACACATTGCTGAGTCTTATTTTCTGTAAACTTTACTAAGCGTTTCCCTTGTCTAGTCTTGCCGTGTTTTGACCCTTGCCTTATTTATGTTGGTTTGTTGCACGTGTCGACCTCTTTACCTGTGACCACGATAACGCTTTTGGATTACCCTCATGCAGAGGCGGACTGGCCATAGGGAGCACCGGGACATTTCCCATTGGCCTGAGGGTCAATCTGGCCTGCCACAGTGACTTTGGCCTGCTGCCTAAACCATTAAACCAACCCCCCTTCTTCTCTTACTGATCGCTCCGCTATGAAATAGCTTTAATTACTGAACTAATCTGTTTATTTAACTTGAAGTCACTATAACACCCAGGTTCACATTCAGAAGATCCGGAGCACACACTGCTCCAAATACCACCAATTCTGTCTTTTCTTATTTGCCAATTAAAATATTTAGTGCCAACCAAGATTTAATGTCTTTAAGTGGTGTTTTGGACAACATTATGTTCACTAAATAAAGCTGTGCACCATCTGCACAAATAAATTCATTAAACCCCAAAATAAAGGGTTTCTTATGGAAGCAAATATAAGGAAAACATGAGAGATGTGCTGACAAGAAAATAAAGTTGCCAATTTGGACAGAGAAGCTTTTGTAATATATACGTGAGTAAAACAATTCCTGTTTAGTACCCTAAATACCAACACAATCCTCTAAGTGAGAACAAGAACAAGTTGTTGTGTCAAAAGCAGCTGTAAGATAGAGCCAAAAAACAGCACAATTTCCTGAGTCAGCAGTCAGAAACAAGTCATTAAAAAGTGCCAACAAACACCTCCACACAATTCATTCATGGTCTCCCAACATAAATCAATTAAGTGTACTTGATTGTTTTTACAAGGCAGTGGCGCAGTAGGTAGTGCTGTCGCCTCACAACAAGAAGGTCGCTGGTTCTAACCTCGGCTCAGTTGGCATTTCTGTGTAGAGTTTGCATGTTCTCCCTGCCTTCGCGTGTGTTTCCTCTGGGTGCTCCGGTTTCCCCCACAGTCCAAAGACATGCGGTACAGGTGAATTGACTAAATTGTCCGTAGCGTATGAGTGTGTGTGTGAATGTGTGTGTGGATGTTTCCCAGAGATTGGTTGTGGCTGGAAAGGCATCCGCTACGTAAAACATATGCTGGATAAATTGGCGGTTAATTCCGCTGTGGTGACCCCGGATTAATAAAGGGACTAAGCCGACAAGTAAATGAATGAATGAATGAATGAATGACTGTTTTTACAAATGTAAGTGGATTGAACATAAAACAATTAAGTTGCCCCCGTAAAAAAACAAAAACAAAAAAAAACACTTAGGAATTGTATTGATTCAGCTCATTTTAAATAAGTAGTTTAAACAGGCAGCAATCTTTTTTCTTTGAGTGAGAGTGGTTTCAGTGCTGTGAAAACATGACTTGTTGATTGATGAGACCGGGTTGCTTCTTGAAACACATGTAGATCTGAAAAAAGGATTGCAGTTGCATAAGTGCAAACTTGTCTAATACTTTGGAAAGGCATGGAAGTTTTGATATACAGTTAAAGTCAGATTTATTAGCCCCCTTTTATTATTATTATTTTTTAAAAACATTTCCCAAATGATGTTTAACAGAGCAAGGAAATGTTCACAGTAAACCAGATAATTTTTTTTTCTTCTGGAGAAAGTCTTATTTGTTTTATTTTGGCTAGAATAAAATAAATTTTCAAAAACATTTTAAGGTCAAAATTTTTAGCCCCCTTTAAGCTATTTTTTCGTCTACAGAACAAACCATCATTATACAATGACTTGCCTAATTACCCTAACCTGCCTAGTTAACCTAATTAACCTAGTTAAGCCTTTAAATGTCACTTTAAGCTGTATAGAAGTGTCTTGAAGAATGTCTAGTCAAATATTATTTGCTGTCATCATGACAAAGATAAAATAAATCAGTTATTAGAGATGAGTTATTAAAACTATTATGGTTAGAAATGTGTTGAAAAAATCTGCTCTGCGTTAGAAATAATTCAGGGGGGCTAATAATCCAGACTTATAAATAATATAATAATAATAATAATAATAATAATAATAATAATAATAATAATAATAATATTAATAATG